GTCCTTTCCAGCCCACATCCAAATTTAATGTCCACCAATTTAAAAAACAATTTTACAGTGAATTCAAGTGTAGGTCCTTCCTCCCAGTTCCACTTCTGAATTGTAACACTGCTAATACCCTGGGGCCATAGTAGATGCCTGAGCGAATGCTGAGACACCGAGAAGAAACTGCAGTGACCCGGCCCACCTCCTACGTTGAGCTGGCAATCTTAAATTTAAAGTTAGTAGGGGTGGGATGAGGGCATGTGACGGGGTAGGGGAGGAGGTAGCTGATCGATGTTTCTCTCTCATCGATGTTTCTAACTATCCCTCTCCCTTCCTCTCTGTAAAAAATCAATAAAATATATATTTAAAAAAAATAAGTGTTTAGCAATTCCTTTGAGGAAAATTAGAAACATGCAGACACACCAAACTCTGTGTTCCCTTTTGCATTTTTTTTTAACATGGCTCTAGGGATAAGTTGTTTATTTACCTGAATTTATCTGTTGGTGTCCTTTCTGGAGGATAGAAACCTATTTGGGTGTTTTAAACGAAAGGGGTGTGATTTGGGGAATTAGTTTACAAATTATTAGAAGGGATAGAAGAGCAGTGGTTCCAGTGGCGTGGGAAAGCTGTTGACCCTGCAAGAGTGAGCACTATTGTGAGCCCAATGTCCTCCATGCCCACTTCATGTAGCTGCCACAGTAGCCTCAGTTTATCTGCTCATGGCCCCTACAAGAGCTACTGCTACATTGTTAGTGGCATCACCAGGAACAGAATAGATTCTTTCTTGCTTGCTTTTTAATCTGGTGTAGGTACCACTGACAGAACCTAATAAGAATGCAGTTTGAGAAATGTCATTTCAGGCTTCTAACTGTAGAGATTCAGGGGAGTTTTTAGAGAAGGGTAACTGGGGTGAATGCCAGTGTACCTAGTCTGCTACCTGCCATGTTATTTATACTTCACGCCACAAGCAAATGTGTAGCTGTGTTGGAGTATTGCTGAGCGTCCAGCCAGGCATTTGAATTTGCTTACCAGTGAGGTCCTAGAACTATCTATCTACATCTGCAGAACATCAAGAATGTTTGTTTATGATCCATGAAAAGTATTGATGGTATTTACTATGTTTAAAAATGTAATTTACTATGTTTGGTCATCTCTTCTCCCTTTGGTATTAAATGCAGCTCAAATCATGAATCCAGCTACGAATTTTCATCTGGCAGGGACTTGCCATTGTGTTATGTATTTGGCAAGAAAGTTCAAGAAAATCCATTCTCAACCTAAATTTTCTTTTCAGCTATAGTTGTGGTTTTGCCGAAAACATTCTTCTATAGTATATTATTTTAATTGAATTGAGCATGCTTACTATTATATGTAAATGTATTCCTTATTGAGAAAGTTAGGGAATGCCAGATAAGATGGCATATGGTGTCCAATTTTTCCTCCTTATATAAAATGGGGAAAACCTGAAGAAACACTGCAATTTAGGAAATGTTGCTGCCCCTATGCCAGAAATCTTAGATATAGAGAACGATATTCAACTCAAAGGAAGAAGCAGAGAGCGTTTATTTCCTAGGCCCAAGAAAGCTGGATGGTTTCAGTGGAAATGTGGGACTCAGTTAACACATTTGAAAGCTTGAATTTGAAAGTTCTGAGATGAAAGGCTGTAATCAGGTTGGAGTCCTTTCCAGCCCACATCCAAATTTAATGTCCACCAATTTAAAAAACAATTTTACAGTGAATTCAAGTGTAGGTCCTTCCTCCCAGTTCCACTTCTGAATTGTAACACTGCTAATACCCTGGGGCCATAGTAGATGCCTGAGCGAATGCTGAGACACCGAGAAGAAACTGCAGTGACCCGGCCCACCTCCTACATTGAGCTGGCAATCTTAAATTTAAAGTTAGTAGGGGTGGGATGAGGGCATGTGACGGGGTAGGGGAGGCTGGGGGAAGGTCAATGGGGAAAAAAAAGGAGATATATGTACTACTATGTGTAATACTTTCAACAATAAAATATAATTAAAAAAATAAAGTTAGTAATACGGCAAAATCGCATATAACTAAAATCCCCCTTGAAAAATCCCAACAAAGTCATGATCATATTGGAAACTTTCCCATCAGTTCTCAGTAGGTCAAGTATTCACTTGTTGTCTGGTGTTTGAACAGATGGCTGGGCTGATTCTTCAGGTGATTGCCAACTGAGGAGTAGGCTTGTGTTGTAGAGGCTAAGTTTTTCAACACTAGATTGATAAGTACATAGATATGCTTGCACTCTGAGAGACACTCAGGGATTGAGATCATAGGAATGCATCACACACCTCACACTTCAACTCTCTGAGGCATACCCTTTAAAAAAATGTTTTCAGAGAGGAAAGGAGAGGGAGAGAGAGAGAGAATCATTGATTGGCTGCCTACTGCATGCCCCCAACTAGGTATGGAACCTGCAAGCTGGGCATGTGCCCCAACTGGGAATCGAATTTTGCCCTCCTGGTTCATAGGTTGGCGCTCAACCACTAAACCACACTGGCCGGGCCTGGGGTATAACCTTCTTGAATGGAATGACTGGCAGAGTCACTGATGCTCTTTACAATCTCTCTTTTTTTTAAAAAATATATGTTATTGATTTTTTACAGAGAGGAAGGGAGAGGGAGAGTTAGAAACATCGATGAGAGAGAAACATTGATCAGCCTCCTCCTGCACACCCCCTACTGGCCGACGCTCTATCCACTGAGCCAAACCAGTTAGGGCGCTCTTTAGAGTCTTATCTCTGGCTGAGTCCACCTAGTTGAATTTTGTGTGAATCAAGTGAGTGAATGATATGACCACTGTAAAGAGACTAAAAATCAAAATAGATGTATGAAACTGCAGCATAAAAGGAGGAAAGTAAACACTTGAAGCAGAAGGGAGCATATACATAAAGGAAACTCCATAGAACAAGTCTATTTGACAACAGCTGCTTTTTTCTCAAAATCCTCTAAGACTAAAATTGAGAAGATGTAACAACACATGAAGCTGTTCAAGATGAAGGAGATATTGATGCTATATAAGGTGAATAAAGCTGATTATAAAACATGTATGAATATAATTTTGAGGAAATTTGTACAAAGTTTTTTCTTCTCTTCCTAGATTGATAAATTATTTACTTGTTATATAAGAACAGTAGGCTTGACATTTATGGATTTAACCTTCCTGCTTTTTGACTCTTCATAAATAACCTGGAAAAATTGGGATATGCAGAAGTGTGTCATTTTGCTGAGCTGGTATGTAGAGTACATTAGCTAGAAAGTGCACCTTGCCATTGCCCTGCCTCCCATATCAGGGTAGTTCTGTTTTTCTTGATTCATTCATTCTTCCACACTTCTTGCCATAAAACAATGAACACTGCTTCTTTATAAATTGCTGGTGGCCTGGTGCATGAAATTCGTGCACATTAAAAGGGAATTAGAGGAAATATTTTAATATTGCTATTTGCCCTTTCTCTATAATAGAAGTGTCAGAAATGAAAGAAAATTAGTAAAATGTATAAGAAAATCTCTCTCCTGTCAGAGTCTGGGGTGTGCCGCGGGACCCAGAGTAAAGTCCCCACCCACCCGCGTGCTCCGCGAAATCGTGTGAGTCCCAGACCCAGCCAGCCCCACCCCCATCAAGCCCCGCAGGGCAGGGGGCACAGCCCCAGGTCCCCCAGGCCGGTGCCGGGCGGGGGGTGCGGCTTCAGGTCCCCTGGCCCAGTGCTGGGGTTGGGGGGGTGCAGCCTCAGGCCCCCGGGCCCCAACACAAGGGTGTGATGACCATTTGCATATTAGCTCTTTATTATATAGGATAGGATGGCTCTTGGGAAGAAACTAGACTATATCAGGGCTGGTGTTAAAAATGAATAGCCTTGCCCTGGCCAGTTGCTCAGTGGTTAGAGCATTGTTCTGCACACCGAAGAGTCCTGTGTTCGATTCCTGGTCAAGGGCACATACCTGGGTTGCAGGTTCAATCCCTGCCCCAGTCAGGGCACTTGCGGGAAGCAACCAATAGATGTGTCTCTTTCACATTAATACCCCCTATCTCCCCTCCCCCCACTTTTCTCCCTTCCACTCTCTCTACTAGTAAAAATAAAAAAATATGTCCTTGTGTGAAGATTAACAACAACAAAAAAAGTGAATAGCCTTAAGATATTGACAGTCATTGGTCAGAAAACACATTTTCATACATCAAAGAATGGAATGTTTAGTGTGAATAGGGTCATTAATTATGGGGCATAATTAGGTAATAATATATATATATATGAAGACTGATGAAGATGATGTTTTTCTCCGTTACAAATGTCACAGTCTTCTGTAATGAGTTATTCAGAAAAAAATGTGCTGGTTACTAAGCTGCTGTTAATTTGTATTAAAGAATCTCAGGAGCTTCCAATCATTCAGGGTTTTGGATAAATAGGTGATCAAAAATACCTTGTGTATTTTAACAGTATTAAGATGATTTTCCATATATAGGCAAAGAGTTGATGAATTCCATAGAAGGTAACTAACTATAAATGAATTATACATGACTAACAAGGAATGGCAAGCAAGACTTCAGAGCTGAGTTACCTTGATATTTTTATCCACTGTGTGGGGTGTTGCACATGCATCACACAGCTATAATAGAGCTATCACATGGATCATTGGGAAAAAGAAGATAGAGATGTTTTAAAAGCTTCTGTGTTTCATTTTTTAGTCAGATGCTGCATTATTTGGCATTAGACAAAGTCAGAATCCAAGTATTGAAAGGTGAATTATTCTAAATAACTGAATTGTAATAAAGAAGTAATTTATTTAACATTTTTTCAGGAAATGGAAGATAAAGTGACTAATCCAGAGAAAGCTGAAGAAGCAAAATTAAAAGCAAGGTATCCTCACCTGGGACAAAAGCCTGGTGGTTCCGATTTCTTAAGGAAACGATTGCAGAAAGGGGTAAGTTCTTTTGTCTAGTCTTCAAATACTTAAGCTCTATAACCTCAGTGTGCCGATAGGGATTGTGATATGGGTATCTGCATATATAGCTCTGTGTGTGTGTATAATGGTTTTTTCCGTAATGTTTTAGCCTATTCATCCTATGATAAGAATTAAGAATCTAGGATTCTTTTATCACTTTTAACTCTAAATTATTTCGAGCATGTAGAAAGGTTAAGATAATATAATAATACAGTAGAACCCATATACCCACCACGCAGATTTAACAGGTTTATGTCGTGCCATAGTTACATAAGCTTTATCTTTGCAAGAAAGAAAATGTAGATATACTTAAACCTACCACATGTGTTTGCATATCACCTTTCTCCCTTCTCTCCAAAAGCAGCCACCATCCAGATGCTGGTATTTATTCTTCTGCTCATGTCTTTGTGTTGTTGTTTTTAACTTTTAACTGTTTTCAAGGTGATTTCTACATAATATCCAAAGGCTTAAAATACCTTTTATTTGTATGAAATGAGCCTGCTTTTTCCACTAGTAAATGAAAGGCTTGCATTTCACTCCTTAAGTCCAGGACTGTTCCTTCCTGGGTGGATTGATGAGGAAGCTGATGTCAATCCTGAGGCTTCTATACTGAAACCAGAATGACATAAGTAAGCCTGAAGAAAGGGTTGTTGCCTAACTTCTCCGTTGGCTGACTTGTGGCTGACAGAGATAGCTATTTCATCTAATTTTTGTTTTTGCTTAAATTTTGTTAGAATAACTTAGACTGGCAATATAGAGTCACATCTTAAACCAGTGTAATTGCATATGAAAGCTTTTAAATTCTCTGAATTTTTTTTTTCTTGTAGCAAAAATATTTTGATTCTGGAGATTACAACATGGCTAAAGCAAAGATGAAGAACAAGCAACTTCCTGCTGCAGCCCCGGATAAGACAGAGGTCACTGGTGACCACATTCCCACTCCACAGGACCTTCCTCAGCGGAAACCATCCCTTGTTGCTAGCAAGCTGGCTGGCTGATTAAAAGAGCTGAACTGCATGAATCTTCTAATTCCCATTGTTTTTCCTTAATATGTCACTCCCCGCTTTTTATTTCCTTCCACTCACAAAGTCATTTGAGAGTGACAGCTTTGCAGGTAGTGGTAGTGTGTGCTACTATTGTAAGGGAAGATACATGTAAGAGTTTTTGATTAGTTTAACAGTGCACTGATGAAGAGAACATGTTAGAGCAGCATAAAGTAATCTACTTGAAAATAATTGTATATATTACCTAACTGCTAGTGTAGGGAGGTCCTAACAACTACGAAGCAAGTTTTACAATTTTAATGTTTTGGCTTTCTTTACTTCATCCTAATTATAGCTTTGTAGGTTACTCTTATTTAATTAACCTCTATGGTATTGATTTCTTTGGTATCTTCCTTTTGGATTTTATAAACAGAAGTTTAAGACCACAAGTTGGACGAAAAGTCACATATTTCAAACACAAATAGATGGGGCTCCAAAAGATTTGTATTTCTGTGCTTGGACTTGAATGGCCTTAAACCTGTTTCAGCTTTAACAATAGAAGTTTACTTGGGCAATATTTGCCCATTCTGGTGTAACTTATGTGACGCTAGTGCTTAACAACTGCCGTTGAAGCTAATATTCTTCTTCAGTTCTATAGTTAGAATACCTTTTGTTGTTAAAGATATGAATGAAGTATGCATGTGCATCGACTGTTGAATTCACTTTTGTGCCATTTTTGTAAATACAATAGTTTTGCACAACCTCTCACAAATGTCTGTATTAATTTCATATATTAGAAAGTAGATGATGTGCCAACCAGAAGCACAAAAGTTCCTACACAAAACTCTGTATGTCATTAGAGCTTTTGTATAGTAAGAGTAGTTTACAATCCTGGGCTTATAGAATACCAAACTGACATCTTTGCTCAGTCTGCCATAGACAAGCTTTTTCATTTGTTACTAATATCCATGACATTCAGTGGCCTTGTGCAAATATGATATGTTGCTTAGGCATATCTTTTGTCCTATGCAGAACATTTCATTTTGACTTTTAGGGAAATTGCAATTCATGTAATTTATATAAACTTTTAAATGTAGAAACTTTTTACTTCCACAGTCAGTTTTGGGGACACTAAAATAAAAGGCTTCAAAGCTCTGCCTCCTGTGGCCCCTCCCTTCTTTTTTTTTCTTGCTTCTTTGACTCAAATATTGGGCTGTGCTGTTCAGTCTGTTCGGAAGCATAATGTCTATATCCTAACTCTTGAAACTTGCTCTGCTGAATGCTGGATTTTATAATGATGTTTTCCTTAACAACATTTTCGTTAACCATTGTTATTGCTATATTATTAGTATTTGACAGTTTCAGTAAAAGGAACTTTATAATGAAACAAGTTCTTGAGAAGACTGGCCCGAGAACCTATGTCAGGATGAGCTGAACTCTGGTAAATAATTTTAAGGAATTCTGATGAGCTAAGTGAATTAAGCTTGTGACGATTAATGTACATGATAGGTGGAACATGCTCATACTAAAATATTTAGATGTCTTGCTTCTATAGATGTCACTTTAATAAAATATCAATTTATTTTTACTTGTGTTTTTATCTAATTAGTAAGAACTTCAACAGACTTTATTAGGACAAATTTACTGCTCTTTAGGAACTCTTCCCATAAGTCGTTGTAATGTTCTAGTGTGATGAGGATCAGTAATCAGATGATACTATTTTTCTCTTCATCCTTGACTTGTACAGGGCCTCCCTTCTTTTGGGTCCAGGCACCTAAATCATCATAGATGGTGCTTTGAGTATAGCACCTGCACTTAAAGACAGCCTAACGCTCTGAGGAAAGCTCACTGATCATCTTTGTGCTCTACCCACCCCAAAAGCAGAAATGAACAAAATCAGTAATGTGTTAATTTGTAATTTTAGGAAATGGGAACAAGTAGGATATTCCACAATACCTATAATTATTGCAGGATCGATTTAAGAATTACAAAATTGTGCTGACTTTGACGCACATACACTAAAATTGGAAAAATAGAGGTTAGCATGGTCCCTTTGTAAGAATGACAAGCAAATTCATGAATAGTTCCATGTTTAAAAAAAAAATTACAAAATACTCCAAAGTAGAAATTCTGCAATATCTAGTTTTTTAAAATGCTTATGTGCAAGCTGTCACCATTAAATCTATGCATCAGAGATGAATCTGAAAGATCAGAGAAACCGTATTATTCTTGACCATGATAGGACTCCTGCTGTGATTTGTGACAAGTGATGTAACGTCTGCCTGAGTTTTAGTTTGTAAAATACAAAGCTAATATTTAACCTACCTCAAAACTTGAGGATCTGTGAAATACTGAATAAGTGCCCAAAATAAAATATTGTTGATTGTCTTTTTATTAAAAATTTCCTCATTAAACCAACCTGCCTTCTGTAAAGTCACAGTGCTTAAAATCTCAGGATTTTCCATTGGGAAAGACCTGTCATTAAGGATTTGTAGGTATAATTGCTTAGCCTCCATTATTGGTGCTTGGGATGGAGAGGTTTTAGCTTTCTGTTTTTGGTTCACCTCTGCTCAGTTTGCTGACATTTGCAGATCATTTCACCACTGCTAGAATGAAGATTTTGACTAGATGAGCTCAATCATATTCATCCATTTCTATGATTGCAGAGTTGTGGTTTGAGAGATGGCTACTTTTAATTGTCCTGTTTATTATAAACTAGAGGCCTGATGCACGAAATTTGTGCAAGGGGCTTGGCCCCTGCGGCCACCTCTGCCACTGCCCCCTTCACTGGGGCTTCATCTGGAAGGACATCCAGTCTAATTAGCATATTACCCTTTTATTATTTTAGATGAATGCTGAAGTAAAGTGAAGATAAATACTTCATGAAAGTCTTGGATAACGTCTGAAATAAATTATCTGTTTCATGTCTAGTAGCTCCTACTTGATAGTACAGTTTTGAGAAACATGCCAGTTTTGAAAGCTACAGCTGACTAAAATAATGACAGTTCTTGGCATTTGGAATAGTAGTAATGCTTGTTGGATTGTTTTTGATGAACTAGAAGGAGCATATTTGCAGTCCATTTACTAGTTAGTCAACCCTTTTGTGCTGCTGACCTGGTAAGGCCTCTACTTGTTTTACTTCAACAGTGGGAATTAGTCACTCTTTTTACTTGATGTAACAAAACCATACCTCTGAATATAACTGATACTTTTTACTAAATCAGATGTATTCTTAGTCCAAATTAGTGATGCTTTATCAAAGTTGAAATGTAATCTCAACTTAAATTGTGTTCTAAACTTGGTGTTTGGTGAGCCAGGAGCAAGGAAGCCTATAGGAAGAGCACATCTGAGTGACGACTAAAACAGTTTCTCTGGTGGCCTTTTCACATTCCCCAATGTCCAAACACATGTCCACTCTTTCCTTTTTCACCTCATTTTACTGCGTCCCCCATCCTGACTTATTTAAGCCCTGATGGCTTTCATTAAATGGTATTTAGGGCTTGAATTACCAATTTTTACTATTGTTCCCAATAGGTTACAATTAAGGACACATTTTTAATGTTCTAAAACACTATCTTAATCTGAATAATGACCAATTTGAGCCACCATCCCAACTCTGCAACTCAGTATACACTGCCAGTCTTCCCCACCACACCTTGTAAAATTAAGATTTTAAAAAATCTCGTTCTGGTATTGTTAAAATAAGAGTAAAAACACTGATTTTAATAGTTTCGGTCATTTAAGTAAGTAGGCCTATATGTCTTATTCTGCGAGTCACTGGTGGTGATGATAACCATTAATGTGTGTTTGTATTATTTTTCAACTAAATAGCATTTGAAAGGAAATACCCAATTCTTTTAATATACCCTCAAATCTGTTACCACATCTCTTATTTGTGATGCAGTAGGACACTGTACTAAAAGGGCCAAGAGTAAATGCCTTTTTTGTTGAACATGTCTGTAGAGTTGGCAGTTAATGCTGAAATTTGTCAAGTAGCCCTTCCAAAATTATACTTGTGAAATATACAGAAAAATAAATTGATTTACTTAATTTCTACTGATTTAATTTGCAGTTTTTGTCTCATTTAAATGTTAATGTTTTTTCAGTGTATTTTGTGAAGTTGATCCTTTTAGATTTTGGCTATTTTTATATACAGAAAGAATTATTGCAGTCTTAAATTTTGTTTTAATGTGTGTTAATGAGATTCTAGCAGTTAACTTTTACTTTGTGAAGGCTTTGTGTTTAAGGTAACATTAAATGTTTGCAGATTGTGAGTCTTATCCATGTCATGTATAAAACACGCTAGTACAGTATTGTCAGAGATAGAAAGATGGATGAGACAAGAAGCTTACATTCTGAAAAGATATATAATGGTATGTTTATTATATGTGCAGAAAATTTAATTCAGGTAGAAAGTATTACATTTCTTAAGAGGTAGAAATAAAGTTCCAGGAAATCTAGAGAAATGAGTTATTCAACTTGGGGGGATAAACGGGATGAATGAAATATCAGGGTAGTCTTACAAGTGGCTTTAGGAGATAGGTTGGTGTAGGCATGGGTGGGGGGAAAGGTAGGAAGGAGACCATTTTAAGTGGAGGGACTGTTACTTTCAAATAGTCGCCCAACCGGTGTGGCTCAGTGGTTGAGCATTGACCTATGAACCAGGAGATCACGGTCCGATTCCCGGTCAAGGCATATGTCCAGGCTTGATCCTCAGTGTGGGGTGTGCAGGAGGCAGACAGTCAGTGATTCTCTCTCATCACTGATGTTTCTATCTCTCCCTCTCCCTTCCTCTCTGAAATCAATAAAAAATAAACAAAAGAACACAAACAGTCAAGGAGTTAGGAAATGTGGACCTGTATAAGGAAGATTGGATGGAGATCATGGCATGTGAAGGAACTCTTGATTTTTCTCCTTAACACTCTCCTTTTCCTCCAGCCTTCAACTCAAGTGCTCAGACCAACCTTGCTTCCTCAAGCTGGGACCAACATCCACCAAAATCTATTGGAATTTTCGATTTATCTCCACTGCCACCACCACACCCCAAGCCACTAATAGTTCTTACCTGGATAGCTGGTGCAGTTCTAACATCACTTTCTGCTCCTGCTCCCTTCATGCTGTGCCCTTACCCATCCTTTCGCTCCATCCTGCTTCCATTTTTAACAGATTATATAACCTCTTAAAATGTTCCATGTTCATTCCTGCTCCTGTTCAACACGTTTCTTTTCCATTAAACACTTCCCCTAACCTGGCTGCCTCTTTTTCTTTGGATCTCAGCTCAACTTTTAACTTTCTTAGCGGGAGGTCTAATTCATTATTGTATCCTTAGCACCTAGAAGCAGCTTATACTCAAATGCTTGTTGAACAAGTAAAGTAAAATAGAATATTGGGTTGGAAATGTAAGTGGAAAACCAGATTAAGGGGATGGATACAGAGAGATAATGCTTGATTTCTCAGTCTGAGCCGAGTCTAGCTTTCATTGAAGTAGGCCTTTATACTCAGCATTTCTGTGAATGAAGAAATGTCAAAGAGATTTGCTCTCAGAAACTTCACAACTGAAATTGGTATACCTAGTTTCCATGGCAAGGATGTATTAACTTGGCTGCTTCTCTGCTCTTGCTTGTGATCATGTCCTTGCAAGCATACTTTATCTGATTTCCAAGGCCCTTTATTGACCCATTTCCAATGCATAAGGCTGATCGCGATGTATTTTAGGTTCTTGTTTTTCTGCATCTATTCTAGCTAATGTTTTGTAATGACTGTGTATAAATGGAAGTTACCATTTGTTTGAATTACTGCAGACATTATCCCTGGAGGGTAGTCATATTTTAATGATAAAGATCAGAAGCAGGCTCCAGTGGGCAGCTTTCTGCCAGGCCACACTTACAAGTTATAGAATATAAACCTTTCATATCTTCCTTAATTCTCAACTACTTTAATATCAATATTATGAGAAGCCCCAATCACTATGGATGTACTAGTTAAAAGATAGACTAAAAATATTCGTTTTCTTTTTAATGGTAGACATTTACTAATTATATCTGTCTTGAAAACCTGTATATGAGTTAGGTACATGGCTCATGTTGTCCACTGGGGTAATTAAAATGGTCATATATAGTAGTATTCCTACGAATTTTATTTTCTGCCAGGTTTATATGTAAACTTGAAAGAACTATTCATTATACTTGTAACTCCTGAATATATTGTTATGATGTTGCCAGCTAATTGCAGTATATTCCTATTCCCATGAGAGATGTTCTACAAGAGTCAGAAGCAAAGGGAGGAAAAGGTTTTAATAAGAGGAAAATGGTCTCCAGTGTGGAGTGTAGTACAGCAGTGAGAAGAGTGGGACCTGAAAAAAATGCCAGAAAATTGGGAAATTGGTATCGCTGGTCCTTTGGCAAGGACGGTTTCAGTGGAGAAGCTATGCATGGGCATGGGGCAGAGGAATAGAAGAATGATAAACAACTAAAGATGAATTAAAGGTGAGGATGTTCTTTTGAGAGATTCTGAGGTACATGAAAGAAGATTTTGATTTTAAATGTAGGAAAGGTTTACGTATGGTTATAGGCAAAACCAAAAATACAGGGGGAGAAATCAAAGGAGGCAAGAACTGGGATCGAGAGTAGGCGTGAAGAGATCAGTCTTGGCATGTCTTCCCAAGCATCAGAGGATTAATGACCAGAGTTCAGGTGGGGAAAAGAGGCACTAGAGCAGTGGTTCTCAACCTTCTGGCCCTTTAAATACAGTTCCTCATGTTGTGACCCAACCATAAAATTATTTTCGTTGCTACTTCATAACTGCAATGTTGCTACTGTTATGAATCGTAATGCAAATATCTGATATGCAGGATGGTCTTAGGCGACCCCTGTGAAAGGGTCATTTGTCCGCCAAAGGGGTCACGACCCACAGGTTGAGAACCGCTGCACTAGAGGATTGCTCACCAAATGACCTTAGTCTCATCCAGGTGGTGAGGTCATTTTCAAAACTGAATGGAGCAAATGCCGTCCAGTGGGGCATCAGTCATAGGGTAAATATATGGTAAGGAATGATAGAACTGATAGTTGGTTCTAAATTAAATTGCTAGATTTCTTTTCCTGCTTCTATTAAAATTATACTTGTAATTCTGAACTCAAGTAGTATAGGAGGCGATAGTGAAAAGCTTTAAGAATGTACCACTACTACAGACTTGGGCTCTCTAGAGGAGAACTACTTGAAACAGTCAAGCTGTTTTGTGTTTTTTCAGATAGTTGCCTCCATTTACGCTCAAGAATATGTTTATACCACTGTTTCTTGATTTCTTAATTTTAGGCACAAATTACTGGTTGTCAAGACTGATGAAGATTTAGTTCACAGCACTTCCCACATTCCTCATGTCCTCTTCCTAGGATCATAATGTCACTACTTTTGATTCCTTTATAGGCTTTCTTTACAATGTCAAATAATATATTTTCACCTTTATTTCTTATTTTATTGGCTATCAACAGTATTTAGCCCTCTAGTGTGTGAGATGACAATATTAACACCCTGATGCTTCCTTTGACTCTCCTCCCTCCTCTCAACTTTTGTCATCTGTATTCTTACATTATCCAGTTAACAACACTTAAGTTCTATTTAATAATCATGAATAGTCTTCAGCTCTATAGGATGATACATACAGTTCACTGCAGATCACAGCTTATACTCTGATTACATTTCTTTCTATAGTTTTTGTTTTTCTTGGTGTTTCTAATTATTATTTTCCCCTTGTACTTTTGGCTTCTATCATAGCCACAATTATTTCATGTCTTCCATCATATCTAGTATTTTAGAGTCTTCCTTATGTTCCAGAAACTCTTCCCTAGAGGCCACTTCTCCCTTGCTTCAATTTGAACTTGTTGCTTTATGATCCCTAATGCACAGCTCTCATCGTGGGACCTAGCTGCCCTCCTGAACTGACTGATTCCATTATTTTCTAGATTCCAAGTATGGCAACCATTGCTTGTTGCCTTTGTCTTAGTTCAGGTCCCCTAGAAGAAGTGGAAGTTCTTTATTTTTGAAAAGTTTTGTGAATAGTTATATACATCATAAATATCTTTTCCCAATTTGTGGTTTGTCTTGTCTTACTAGGGATATCTGTTGATACACTTCTAGTTATATTTTAGTTAGAACTATTTCAAACATGCCTTTGTGAAACGGAATATTCTCCTCCCCCATGTGTTAATTGTACCATCCTCTGACACACAATATCCATTTCCACATAACATTTTAGCATGTAATCACAGTGCATTCTAATTGCATTCATTCAGTTACTTCCTTTCCATGAAAAGTAACATTATTTTGCTGTAGCACTTACTTAGCCCAGTGCCTGGCCATAGTAAGTGCCCAATACATATTTTCTGATAGAAATTACACCATTGAGAGTGTAGCCATTCCCATTCACCCCTGCTATATATATACTGTATGTATTAGAGGTCTGACGTACAAAATTTGTGCACGGGTTGGGTCCCTAGGCCTGGCCGGCGATCAGGGCCGATCGGGGGCTTCCGGCTGCCAGAGCCTCACTTCCCCAGCTGCTGGCCGTGGTCTTCCTTCATTCCGCACTGCCCCCTGGTGGTCAGCGCACGTCAAAGTGAGCAATCGGTCTCCTGGTGGAACTCCCGCAGGGACAATTTGCATATTAGGCTTTTATATATATATAGATATGCACATACACTATATCATGGTCAGGGCTCTTAATCACAAATTCATAATTCTGGCTCATTAGATCAGGTCACTTACAAAATTGTCGAAATGCTAGAGAAACAGTCTATTTTTAAAGATATATTTTTATTTATTTCAGAGAGGAAGGGAGAGGGAGAGATAGAAACATCAATGATGAGAGAGAATTATCGATCGGCTGCCTCCTGCACACCCTCTTACTAGGGATTGAGCCCACAACCCAGGCATGTGCCCCTGACCGGAATCGAACCTGGGACCCTTCAGTCTGCAGGCTGATGCTCCATCCACTGAGCCAAACCAGCCAGGGCTAGAGAAACAGTCTTGATGTAAATCTAGGAACAACCCCAAAAACATGCTCCA